GATGGACTACATCTAATGGCATAATTTGCTTGATGACAGAAAGATTGAAAAGTCAAGGCAAAATGCAGAAGAAAACACCTGATACATCAAAGCTTCTGGAATTGATTCAAGGAAATAGCTATCAGCAGTTCAGTTGGCAACTAAGCATCAGCAGATTACATTGAACTACATCGCTACGGCCATTCCACTGTACACAAAACACTACAAAGATGGCAACAGTTTGCTGATAACTCACCGGTCTACTCTTTTGACCATGACAAAATTTGTCAAGCAGTACAAAATTTCAGAACCCACTATGTTGCCTGTTAAATCTTCCCGATGCACCACCAATTCCATATGCTGATGTGGCAACGCCTAGTCCGGGACATTCACTGGCCCAATGCCCGGGTTGTTGGCATTTAAAACAAACGTTGGAACCACTGTTTGAGAATCCACCTCCAATGGATTGACCCTGCCGATTTACACCTCTTGGACAGTTGTGGAAAGTGTGACTAGTGGAGCCACAACTGTTGCAGAATGCTTGAACTTCATTTTTAGAAAAAAAAGGCCTGCCATTGCTACCATATTCATTCTCATGCTTCCCTAACTGACTGTTATTACTGCCAAAGTTATTGGTGACAGAATGGACACTATTGTTAGATTCTACCGTGCCATAGGCAACACTAGACATTCCAGAAGTTGAAGCAAAAGTTCCATGCATCCCAGAAACTACATTGGGATCTTCAGTCAAAAGCTTCTCAATCAGACCTAGTAGGTATATGCTCTCCGATGATGGGTTTACTTTCTCAGCTTTGATAACGGTTGACTTTACACGTTGTTCATCACTAAATGTCTCCTCCTTAACTTTCAACTTGAATAAATGTTGATGGAAGAGGACTCTCCGAATGATTTCTGCAAACTTCAAATCATCTTGTTCTTGATATTTCAACGAGTACAGCTCCTTTGCGGTGACACCCAATATTTCCTCACCACCTTCTTGGAATGCTGTGACCCATGTCATACCTGTATGATCCTGTATCTGAAACTGGAGCAGATACCTATACTCACACTCAGGAAAACTCTGATCACACCGGTCACAATGCCAAGTGCCATCACCATTGTTGTTAACTTTCTTATTGCATAGCCTGTCCCCCACCATTAATGGACAAGCTGTATAGCAGAAGTTGTCGACCTTTATGAACGTAATGGTTGCCTTGACAGTTATCCAGTCAGGCTTCTCAGATCTTCCTAAGCCTTCATCCTTGATCTGCGAGACTGTCTTCCTGACGACATCAGTCCTGCTCATGGTTGTTGTATCCCTGGATATTGACAGGGCAGACATGTTCTTCCCTTCTCTGTTATACCAGTCTTTCAATCTGTGAGCCTCGGGAAAATCAGGGTTTATAAATAGTTGACTTGAGCTAATAGTACCAATTGACTTCCCACTAAAATCACTGACTCTACCAGCTTTAATGGCCAATACAGGATATACACCAGAGTCACACAAACGTTGCAGCTGTTGTCCCTCTATGCTACAAAAATTTCCCCAAAATGTTACTTCCACACTACGACCCGACATGTCCTTCAGCTGAAGAGTTTGTTTATTGGTTTCCATGCCATTTTTCCTCATTATTGAAGCTGAAGGATTTATTGACACCACAATGCCAATAACATCAACCATGGAATTGTTTTCCAAGCCTTCAACTTCATTTACTGGCCGAAAGTTGAACTGTTGTCTTGGGATAGTGTTGTCTTCCTCTGAACAAGGCTGGATCACCGATTGAGACTCCAGAAAGATTTCATATTCATTGTTCAGGTGATTAAAACTCTTCCGTGCAGGCTTCAAGCTTCCTTTAGAAATCAGGTACACTTTCCCCACCTCAATCTGGTCATAGAACTGGTCAGCTACCATATTAAAGCAGGTCACACGTATTTCTCCACCATCTGAATCCAGAAGATCAAAAGAAAACACTTTTCCTTCACCCCTCGGATTACTATAACGCCTTAGTTCACCCTTGGTTGTCACTCTCGCCTTAATTGTCCATCTGCCCTGGTAAGGATTCAAAGCAGCAATCGGAATGATCCGTGCAGGAGCTTCATTCTTGGCTATAGGTCCTCTATTTGTGTACATTGGTGGTGACTGCTGATAGGCTGGCTGAACTGGGTGCCCATAAGAACTAGCAGGAGGGCGAAAAGCTCCAACAGATGCTGAACTTGAGAGCCTCTGGTTCTGGTAACCACTGTTTGGATGTGATTCAGAAATCCTCCCCACACCCTGTTCAGATTTTGGGTGTTCACTAGGTACACTGTTCGTGTTCCTTGTTGACATGACACCATTTCCATAAGAACCACCAAAAGATGAGTTGGTTGTCACGGCCTCTGTCGCAGGATTAAGAGAAGGCCCCTTTGTGACATTTTGACCGATGTTAGGAGTGCTAGAATGTATACCACCATAATTTTGAGGGTTTGCTGCAGCTATTACTGGTTGATCCGCACTGGTTGACTGAACAGGACTGGGAACTCGGTTTTGTGAAGCGGAACCATTGTCATACAGTTTTGGTTCTCCAATAACATTACTATTGCTGACAAGCACTTCCAAGTTGATGATGATAATGATTCTGGATTTATAAGTTGTTAGGTGAATAAAGGCACTAGGAAATAGCCATACATATATATAATCCAGAAAACAGATCAAAATCTTGGCTAAAAAGGAAATCACGCATTGTTCAAACCTTTTTTTTTCCATTTACTATTTTTTCACTAAAATTTTTGTCGCATTTATTATAAGGAGAAGTAGGCTACTGAATCTTATGACAAATCCACTACCATGAGCTAATAATCATTGCCTAACTTTACTTCAAATTTAACCCCTTTTTTTCTGCGACAACCTAACAAGTTAGTCTGTGCTGGAACGCTCCATCCCATAAAAACAAAAATTGTTATGTGAAACTTCGCATTTCTGATCGTTTTAGGGTAAATATTTAGACAGGATTAAAAGTTCAAATAATTAAAATTGCAATCTGTATAATGTGGCCCATTTCAAACATCAACAAGAAAGGTACACAAGACGACGAAACGATGAGAGGTGAATTCATTCACCTGCGATTCTGGATGACGTTACAGATGAACTCGTTGAGTCGGACGATCGAGTGCTTCTGGAGGGCCCCCAACTTGACAAGGTCGTTCATCTGCGTCGCGAGCATTGCCTGCTGCATGTGAGCCCCGTCAGACAGCAGCATCCGGTACCTCTCCGTGGTGCTCTGTTGCGTGTTCACCAGCTTCACCTCCCATACCTGCACCACCGGCTTGACGCCGTCCTTCACCCGCCCTTCCGAGATTGCCGCTATCGCCCCCCGCGTCAGATCCACCGCAGCCATCCCCTTTCCCTATCTCCGCCTCTCCGTTCAATCACTTCAAAATTAGATCAAGATGGAGACGGAGACGGGGGATTGATCTGAAGCGAAGTTTCTGATCGCATAAGAGGAGATCGATCGACAGATTGGGAGATGTGACCGAGGATAAGAGGGATTCCGAACCGCTTCGCTTCGCCGATTCGCCTTCCTCGAAGCCGCGAGATGAGGCGACGAGAGTGTTTGGGAAGCAGCCCTAAAAGGGACGGGCTCGAAGGCGGGCGAGTGGAAGCGAAGGGAACCGCTTCGGGTTTTAGAGGGAAAACTAATGAAATCGAGCTTTGGAAATTTTGAGTTCCGGCGGGCTTTATGGGGCGTTAATGGGCCTCGAATGATTCGGCCCAAAAATATTCTTCTCGCCATACCGTTACCGTCGGTCACTAATGGGATATTATTTTGGGTGATTTCCCCAAAAATAATAATTTTTTTTTATTTTTTTAAAACAAAAGATATCCCCTATTTTTTATATTTTCCTAGCAATGTCTTTTTTTCTCTAATTTTAAATATATCATTGATTTAAAAACCAATCATTTATTTTCTCTCTTTTTCTACGTAAATTATAGCGTTACAGTGTTTTCTTAGTATCGTTGAAACATTATTACAAATATTGTGACTTGGTATAAAAATACTATAAGTGAGTTTTATGTCTGATATAAGAATTATAAGTATTTTTTTAATATTTTTTCATAAGGGTATATAATCAAAATTTGAATTTTTTAAATATTTTTAGTATATTTCCCTCTATTTTTCTCTTTGTAATAGAATTATAGTAACTATAATAATGTTGAAAACAATATAATTCATATATAATTCAAATTGTTTGAATATTTATTTTCTTAAATGGAGAACATTTTAAAAAATAAACATTCAAATAATATGACTTATATAAGAGAATATTTAAGAAAATACATATTCAAATAATTTGATTTTTATCGGAGTTATAGTATTCTTCAACATGGTTATAGTGTTTTCGAGAAATTATCAAAAACACTATAACTCTATCACAAAACACTACAATAGAAGAAAATGAATCCAAAGAATGTAAAAAAAATATTTATCAATCATTATATTAATTATGATGACGTCAATTAAAACACTTGAAACAACGTAGTATGCACTAAGCTCGAACGATTCCATTTCTTTTCCTCGATGCCAACTCGGTTGCTAACTCGCTTCAATGCGCCGCCGCCTTTTGACTCCGTTTCCTACCGCTGTGGGAAACACTTAAGCCGGTCATGCGCTACCTGTTACAAAGTGTGGCCTGCTGTAAAGATTTAGAGGTGTTCATGGGAAGAACATGGAAGTGCGAGCAGTCCCAAAGACAGTCTCTCCTCACCATTAATGGAATTCCCATGGTGCTGAGTTGCTCATTGTTTAGCACCGAAGCTTTTACTGAACTCGCCTCTGACTTCGTACAGCACCGCTTGCCAATACTGCTGCTCTCAGACACCCAATTTAAGCCGAGTGATTCGGCGTAAGAATGATGAAGTTTGAGGATCTCCCGATGGATAAGCAAGACGGTCATCAGAAGAGACTCGGGTTAGAGGAAGAGGTAAGATCGGATTGCCGACTCCTCGTGATGTACGAGCTATTGTTTTCGGTTTAGCACGGATGAGGAACGGTGTGATCGAGCTGCAGGTGGCCGAGCTGCAAGACGAACTGGAGAAGGAACAGAAGCTCAACCAGATCCTGCAGTGTGCGCTTCATGGCCCGTACGTTTGCCATTCGTGCGTCTCCTCGTTGGTTCCTCTTCAGGTATCAAGAAACCAAGTTAATTCTGGGCCTTCTCCCTGTAAAGATCGTCATCGATCGGATGAATCGGCAGGTACAGGTCCTTCTTGCGGAACTAGCGATGGTGGAAGAGGAAATCATCACCCTGGAGAGAAAGATCGAGGACTTGAAGATGTGCATTTATCAGGAGAGGAAGCAGAAGAAGGAGAGGAGCTTTCGGCCGGCGCAGCAGCATCAATGGTGGCAGCGACAACAGAGGCACTTTCTATGTGGTTTTGGAGGCCGAAGAGATATCGAAAAGCTCCAACAGCTACCAGGATTGCAACACGAAGACACAACAGGTGATTCCTCATGCGAGCATTGCTACGACTTATTGGCCTCTTGCGATCACCAAATTGCACGTAGCAGATGATGAAACTGAGAGATCAAGGAGATGCGGTGAGCCAAACCGGGAGTCGAGCCATCACACTAGGCAATGGTGCGGAGACGAAGAGGCCTTTCCTGACACACCAAACCAAGTCTCGGAGGAACTACTCAGGGCTCTGCTCAGCATCTTTCACACGCTGAGCCAGAGATCAGGTCAACTCGACTGTGAACCGCAGAACTCTGCGAAGCTTCACATCTCCTGCATGAGGTCAAACAGCTTGGTAGGCAGGTCCTCACACTGCCAGACGTCGACCTCTTCCTCAAAGGGCACATCACCTGAGGCTGATGGCACAGGGAGGGACATGGGATCGAATCAGAAGCTTGTCAACGTCACGCAAGCTTCCTTGGACATGAGTCGTCTCTCCCTGTGCATTCCAACCATTGGAAAACTGAGGTGAGTTCATGGATAAAGCAGCAGATCGCATCAGTGTCTCACAGATGCATCTTGGGAAAGTTCGTATTGTTCGGAGTGATGACTTCAACAAGGCTAATCATACACTGCTATATATTTCATCATGACTGACTACAGTAAATGCATATGTTTCAGGGCAGTGATACACAAACTCTCTGCTATTAATCCAAGTTTTTTGACTTACAAGCAGAAGCTTGCATTCTGGATCAACATCTACAACGCTTGCATAATGCATGTACAGTAAGCAGCTTCTCAAAAGCATATAGAGGAAATAAAGAAGCAGAAAATGTTTGATGTGTTTAATGATTGCAGGCATTTCTACAGCATGGTCTTCCGCCCTCACCCGAAAAGCTGCTTGCACTGTTAAACAAGGTAAAATGTGCCTCGATAAGCTCCATGTTTCTAATCTTTAACCTATGGTAGAATTAATGGGAATTGCACATTGATGATCTTTAGGCGACGATAAATGTCGGAGGTGTTGTTCTCAATGCTCTGGCTATTGAGCACTTCCTCCTGAGGCATTCTTTTGAGAGTGAATCTGTGAGTGAGCTGTAGCAACGCCAATTCATCATAATTTCCATCCTTTTTTGTCATTGATTTACTGATAAATTGCCTGTTTACCTCAAAGGAAGCCATGAATGAGAAGGAAGGACTTCTAAGGCATGCCTATGGCCTTGGGTACCCTGAACCCAATGTGACGTTTGCTCTCTGTAGAGGCAGCTGGTCTTCACCTGCAGTAAGTATTCATCTACAGGGCAGAAGAACCAAGTATGGTTCTAAATCACTTTTTGAGTTGTCATAGTCCAATCTAAACTGGTTGCAGTTGAGAGTCTACACAGCAGAGGATGTGGTGAATGAACTGGAAAGAGCTAAGATCGAGTACCTGGAGACCTCGGTGAGCATCACTAGCAAGAAGAAGATCATTGTGCCCAAACTTCTGCACTGGCACATGAGGGACTTTGCAGATGGCATGGACTCACTTCTGGAGTGGATCTACAGCCAGCTCCCCAGGTCTGGATCTCTGAAGAGGTTGCTCAAGGAATGTCTGAGCAGAGATCCAAGGATTCCTTTGGCTAAAATGGTGGTAGTACAGCCATACAGAGCTGAGTTCAGATACTTGTTGCCATCTCAAGAGGCTGCTCACTTCATGCAATTCTTTTGAGTTGTTCTCTTTTTTTCTTTAGGACAATGAGTTCATGAAAGACCTGAAGAATGATTAGAAACTGGGATCGCTCTTTGCCTGAAGAATCACCGAGCAGCTCACTGAATCAGTGTCGTAAACTAAGCGTATGGAAACAACCAGTTTATGCTCGTCGTGAGAACATAAGCAATATACGTTCGGAGACGTAGTAGCACACACCGTTTCTTTGGTCGACCTCGTTCTGTTCTAAGCCAATGACGATCCGCCATGTCCCGCACCCTGTGCTTCTTCCTCTTCCCTTCCGACGAGTCCAAATCGCGCGCCGCCCTGTTATAGGATGTTCTGGTCTCCGGCCAAGACCATTGCATGTGCATCGCGTGAAGTGGGAGGAGACGCGGGGGCCGCGATAGCATCCACGAACCACCCCACTGGCCTTCCTTCTACCTTCCCGTTGGACTGTCGTTGCCTGCGCAAAGCAGAGAGGGGCAACCAATGGAGGAGAGGGCGATGACCGACAGAGACAAAATACTCTGAATTTTTTTTTAGATGATCTGAAAAACACACCTAAAGTTATAAGCATTTGTCGAGAGTTCACCCAAGAATAAATTGACCTAAATCCGAGGAAAAAAATTATCCTTCTTAATTTTGTGTATGATTATGATCAGCATGTCAACTGTTAGTGACAGCTGCTTATTCCATTCATATTTTTCCTCTCAAATGCCAAACAAAGCACTTTCTCTTCATCATAGAGGGGAGAGAAACTCCTCGCCCCCAAAATAATGGTGTGAGAGAATTAACATATATTTTTATTATTATTACACATACTAATTGGTTATTCCTGGTGACTTTTTACATGGATCAAATCCGATCTTCCCCTCTTTCTTGAAGCAAAGATATGGCTGTTCTTGGGTCAGAGGAGCAGGCAAGGCTCTGCTGCAGGTGGCTTGGCATGGAGCTTGGACTGCTGCTGAGACCAGAAGGCTTGGGCGGAGAGGACGCGGTCCAAGAGCTCCTGGGGGACGGGCTCTCCCCTCCTCTGCTGGGGGGAAATCCTGGCCGTGTGCACCAGCGTCTTCCACTTATCCTGCAGTAACAACAACAGAGATATCATGAATCATCAAGTGGCATATGGAACAAGAACAAGTGACGATGACATCCTGTCCTGCACGCAAAACCCAACAAGAACAATCATTAAACAAGTCTTCCTAGTTTCGGTGGTGCTGAGGGAAACGAGATGGTATCAGCTGAAGCACCCCAAGATCATTTTCAAGATGTCCTAATTCTGCAGCAAAGATCGCAACATTCCTAAACCGGTAAAGGAAACAAGATGGTACTGAACGAAGAGGACCCGTTCTGTATGAAGAAAATGACTCGAGCGACCCACAAGAACTAATAGCTGGCATTTGCATTGGAAGACTGGTCTTCTTGGGATGATATGGACTCCATAATTCATTTGATGGTTCAAAAGATCAAGCATGCAAATATCAGCACGGTGTGGAAATTATCATACTGACAGATTGAATACCTTAAGATCAACATATGTCCGGTGCTTTGCGCTGTCAAAGGCCCGAAGTTTGACATCACGCCACCTGGGGAATAGGATGGATATGTACATGTGAGAAATGGGATGACCTGCAGCAATCTATCATCAGATTATTCGGAAGCAAATGCGATCGGCAAAAAGAGAACCTTCCAGTTCCGAGCTTTTCAACTGCCTGGACCAGTGCTTCCACTTCGGCAACAGAGAAGGGTCTCCTAATTCGTCGCTGAACATGCTCAGGATGCCTTGGCTTGCGGAGTGGAACAACAGCAAGTGCCTCTATGCTCACTGGTGGAAGAGCAACCAGCGCTAGTTTGTCTGCTGGTGTTTGATCAAGCGATGATGCATCAGTTGGGGAGTGAATTGGCTCATGATCACTCACTGGCGATGAGGTTAGTACAGCTTGTGGAGTGGAATCAGTGGCCTCCTGGTCTATAGAAAGGGCTCCAGGAGGAATCCTAAAAACACAAACAATAGCACTCAGTTTTGACCGGTTTCGATGAATAATTCTGAAAATGAACGTTAAACAGTTCGGATAACTTTTTTTATCAAGATTAGATACTTCTGCAGTAGAATCATTGAATCAGTTTAATATACAGATGATCCATTAGATCATGATAGAAGTGGCACATGTTACTCCTGGAGAAATATGTTAATCAAATCCACCAACTAATTAGGTCACGATATAAGTGGGCATATTATCATTGAATTACTCCCAGCAGAATTGATGCCCATAACAAGGAATTTTATACACCTAAAACATCCTATAAAACTCTCCAAACTTGTCGAGAATTGTTAATATGGGGAAAAAAATGTACAAAATGATTCACTGTAGGGGGAGATGTGTGGTATCCAGATACCTTGCTAGTGGTTCAACGGCATCATCAAGACACAGGAAATGGGGACCTCTTAAACTTGTAAGTGGTGGTGGGGTTTGTGTCAGGCTGGGCTCCAATGTAAAGCCTAAGTTATCCAGTTTATCACTACAAGAAATCCCAGTCTGTCGTAGAGTCTTGTTGTCGTCCCTAACCTTCTTTCCTTGAAGAAGAACACCAATACTCATTCCACCTTGAAGAAAAGCAGTCACAGCCTCCATTACTGTTTGCTGCATAAGAATTAACAAGTAATGCCTCACATATCAGAGAATTTGTAGTGTATATCTAATAAAACTACATTTATTCAAGAGATCAACATGGGAAAAAAGAAAACCAAATCCACCTTCCATTTAACTAATAACTGCAACTAAAATAATATGAATACTGATGTCAAGTTATGATGCAGATATAGGATTAACATTAAGATCAAACATCACAATAGGATCAAACTAACAATTTTTGACCTGTTAGTACTATGCAGCTTAACAATCTATAAACAATACGTCATCACTCATTGGAGGTCAAGTCCATTAATCTTTGTGAATGAAAAGTTCCTATGGGTGCATGGAACTTGAAACCAACCAGAATAGCATACCTTCAAAGAACCAACTGTAGCAGTTTCAGGAATCTCAATGAAAAGTTCTGGCACCATAAAAGACTTGATCCGGAGTTTCACTGAATAAGAAACACAATCAGCTCCTCACGACATAACATTTCCGGATATAAATGAAAATTGATATGGTCAATAAATTAGTACGTATCAGTATCCCATTTACCCAGTCAAATTACAAGATCACCTGAGTTGTAAGATGAACTTTGCTCTGCTTGGGAGGGTGATGCATCGTATGCTGCAAAAAGCAAATATGATTGGTTGGAATTCTAGCACCTAAAGGGTGGTCAAGAAATATGGATGGTCAGAGATGTAACAAACTGTCAAGAACAGCTGTGCGTGGATCATGTGCTTCTGTGCCGATGCCACCCATTTCACACAGATTAGGAATATCCCCACTATACATTCCTCCATTAGATGCTGACACCAAGCAACGTTCAAACAGCTTCCTTCTCTTGCAGTAGCTCCTCTGCGTTCTTTGGCGAGTATAATAAATTTTCTTGCCATGTAAACTACGCTTTTTTTCTGTATCTGTTAAGGAAACATAATTAAATCTATTCAAAATGGAAAATCATTTAACAAATAAGAATCAGCTATAATGTCAACCATTGCTGTATTACTAAAAATTCAGTTTGGCATACCCAAGCAAAGAGCTTAATCATGCATACATACCATAATCAGAAATATGACTGTACTTCAATATATTTGGAGCTGCTCTCCAGTACTTCAATGTGGAAAGCTTCCTTACTCGGTGGTTCCCTATACACCGTGGCCTGCAGGCCTTATTAGTAATGGTACTAAGGTGAGTGCACCCGGAAGAGTTATCGTCATCATCTCTATCTACAACATGTTCCATGCCACTTTCTTGCTTTGGCAAGGAACTATTACTAGGAAGATAATTCCAGCAAACTGGAACTTCAGTACTGCTGTCAGAGCTAACTAAAGCAGGAGGCTTGGTGTCCAAATCCATCGAATCCTCCATGCCGTATATACCCACAGCATTGATATCTAACCCATTACCGGGCATTTGGTTTTCAGATTCCTGGAATCCTGTCAGGCCATCTCCTTCAACTTCTGGGGAAGCAGGAAGGTTTGTTTCAGTGCCACATCTGCCAGCGACAGCATAAGCAGCAGAATAACTAATATCAACCCTGTTATTTAAGGTCTTCGATTCCCGGGCAATAGCATCTAATATGTCATACTTGTCCAAGAGAGAAGCAGGTCCTGAATCTTTTGGTCTCAAAATATGCAAATGTTCCGTTGAGCCACAAGAAATCTGTCTTTTAGTAGCAACTTCAGGGCCTAAAACAGTATCGTTACAGCTATGCTGATCAAAAGGTTCAGTTTTGAGTGGCTCTTTTTGGCACAGGTGGTCCGGTTTAACTGAAGCCTTTGACGTATTAGTAGTGCCCGATGCTCCATCAATGCATTGTGGAGAGGGAGCACAGTTCTCCCTTTCTGATAGCAGTTCCCCTGCTACTGTAGCAAGCAAATCAATCGCACACAACTGCTTGTTCTCGACCTTCCTTCTAGCTGAACGCTTTCTCTATAAATGATTGTCGAGTCACAAACTGTGAAGAACCAACAGAAACAAATTGAGAATTAAGACACTTACTACCTTGGCTGATTTTGGAAAGTATAGCATTGCAGGAACCTGGCAGCCACTGAACCCATAATCCAACCTCTTCTGCAACATCATATCTCATGGAGTCATTTTGTTAAGAAGCCTCTCACATGCCAGCAAAAGTCACCATTGAATCAACAATTGGTCTTCAAAACTGAAATCCAAGAAATCTGACCACATCACGTTCCATTGCTTAAACCTGTGAATGAAAGCAAGAGGGAATCGCCACATTATTATTGTTCAAAAAATTTGCTTCGAGACTCATAACAAAACCCCTGAGGTCTACACCAATACTAATAATCAAAGATCGAACATTTCAACTAAATTCTGCAAGCACATGACGGCATGAGAGGTAAAACTGCATATTGCAAATCGGACAAATTCAAGAAATTAAATTGTCAATTTCCTACCGGAGTAAAAAATAATAAATAATTAAATAAAAACAACATGCGTTGTGAGTGATTAGAACAGGAAGTCTCAGATGGAGCACTAAAGTACGAGAAATGATGCCCATATCTTAGAATCTTTACAAAAAAATAAAAAAAAAATCTCTCGATAAGATTGTTCAAGGGGACTAATAAAATGATCTTTAATTCTTTTGCTGAAGAGAGACATTCTAAAGACATAATTATATACGGTATATTGTTACGCGAAAAACGTGTTGCCATAAAAAAATGACTTTCAAGAATATCCAACTATATCAATGAAACAAAGTTGTAAGAACTAATCGGCTTATCAAAAGAGAATTGGAAACGAAAACAGGTGCGGAAAACGTGTTTCGAGTATCGCCAAACTCAAAGCCACGAGTTCTGACATCAAGAATTAAGATCAGATGCAGATCAAAGATCTTACCTTTATTCAACTTGGCACGATCTTAAGATTAAACCATATTCTAAGGGATACATACTAAGTTGAATAATTGAGGCATCTTCCTATATTTCCTGCAAGAAAAGGGGAATAAAAAAGGAAACGTTTTTTTTTCCAATCCCAGGAAAGCGAAGTTCATACGAAACCCTGTAACGAAGGGATAGACTGTTAAACCTGCACAGGGATGCGTGCGCCTCAAGAAACTCGTGTTCTAACTCAAAAATCCCCACAAACATACGTAACACCGAAATCATGGCCTAATCTTCCAGATGAATTGCTTAGGCAACAGATCGGTTCGAACATAATTTAACAGAATTGGGACGAAATCGCCGGAATTTTGCAGAAACAAAGACCCCGTGAGCTCCTCCAGCAAGAGAAATCCCAAGGAATCACGAAAGGGATACTCGAAAAGGGATCGAACTCCAACCGATCGTCAAAATAAATCGACGAATACAAAAAACCCCCAGAAATCAGTGAAAATTCGCCAAAAATCGGACCTTCTAGCCCCATCCGAGGAAGTCCGCCTGGAAACGGAGCAGAATCCTCCAAGAAGGCGATCCGGGGACAAATCCGCTTCCAAGTCTCAAAATCCCCCTCCGATCGTTGGAAGAGCTTCAGAATTCCCGCAAATTCTCCGTCTGAAGGAAATCCGCGTCCCTGGATCAACAAGTTCCAGATCTCAAACGCAAACAGAATTCAAGATCCGCTCCATTTCCCAATTAATTCCACTTTTACAAGAAAAAAAAAATTTAACTTCTTTCTGAAGAAAAGATTTATCCTCCTCTCTCTCTCTCTCTCTCTCTCTCTCAACCCCACAAGAAGAATTGGATACACCGAGATCGCCAAAACCCCTCAAAACCACCCTTTTTTCTTCCTAAAACCCCATCTCTTATACTTCTAACCCGTCCACCGGCGCATCCGGTAATTCCCACCTCCTGTAGCCGGTCACCCCTACGTCCGCTTGACCGTTTCCTCCCCCTCCCTTACCTGCCCACTGATTCCTTACGCGTGTCTCTAATCCCACCATCCGACGGTCGAGCATTTTTCACTAGCTATAAAACCAGACTTATATTAAAAGATGCCTAAGCACAATTGTGATTAGCCATTTTGTTGGTTGCTGAATTAAAATGTTCCGAATTGGAGGGTCATTTAGATGAAGCAATTGCCACGTGGGAATCAACGATGCCACGTGGAAAAGGGCAGAACTCCACTGGGAGGTTGGTGTTTGGATGCTGTTATCCGGTTGGGTGGGTTGTTGATTTCATCCACAATAAATAAATAACTAAATGAAAAATGGGGAGGATAATGTTATTACTTTCTTTTGAGAAGGCGTTGGAGGTGGAATGACGCCGTGAGGGTTTTCGGGGTTACGTGGCGGGCCGGACAGCCACGAGAGTTAACGGCGTCGGGTCCGGTGGGGGGATAAGGATGGGGTGGGTGGCGTGTGTGGCTGGGAGAACGCCCGGGGTTTATTGTGACCGGGAGTCCGTTGACGGCTTCCGTGACGGTAGGCCGCTTGCTCCCACGGTCTCACCGGTTAAACCGACACGTGTGGGGTTACGCGTTCTCTCTCGATTTAGACACCGGTGGCTCTCTCTTTGATCGATCAAAGTCCTGCAACCGGCAGATGTCTTCTCCGTCTTTTCCGATGACCCCCTTTGTCCGAAGCTCGAAGTGTTGCGGTGAGTTTATAGATGGATGACTCGAGTGCAAATGTCACGCAGAAAAGCTGCTCAGGTGGACACAAAGTCACCCCTGTGAAGTTTCAAGGGTGAAATTGCTTCTCGGTCACTTAGCTTTGTCGCATCACGTGTAGGTGTGGACACGAGGTTAGAGAGAGGGACAACAGAAGAAGGTCTACTTCCGACACTACTGCCTAGTGGATGCATACTCCATGACGTGAATTGCGACCTAGGAGGATGCACTTAAATCCATGAGTATTGGTACTACCTTCTGCTTGCACCGAATAGAAAGCGACCATTAAGCAACAGCACAGAAGGTGGCACAACGACTGTCGCATGGTGGTTGCAGAGCGGTGGACATCTGATGGGGCGAGACATCAATTTCAAGGGATGGTCGACGTGAGATGACATGGGATGAAGCAGCTTGTGATGGGCTCCAAGAAGCTCGTTCTGCTTTGAAGCGTAGGCTGCTTAGCGCTCCGAAATAGTCCAACATCATCGGACATGAAGATGAAGGGAGGAAGGACAGGGCTCAGGTGCTGTTCTACGCGCACAGTAAACGGGCACACCTGTGGTGGGAGTGTCGGCCGGCTTCGGTGTGTTCTTCGGAATGTGGAGTGACAGAAAGATGGATCAGATCGAGTGTAAAGAACAGCCGCCAACCGTCGACGATTGGATGTGGAAAATGTTTCCGTGCCGGTGGCCCCACCGCGGCCTCCAATCGCAAGGCACGCCAAAAAGTGGACTAGCAGAGAGAGAACAAAGGCGCGTGAGGGAAAATTTTAGGATGAATAAACCCAGTTGGACTTTGATGATTCTTAAACATTTTAATTAATTAAGCATTAGTCCAGCTATTGAAAACAAGTTTAGACGAGAAAAAAAGGTTGAGTACATGACCTGACCTGTTTTGCTCCTCTATGATTCGAGTGATGAAGTTGAAATCGTAACGAGAAAAATATCTTTGCGATTCATAATGAGCAAAGCCTCACACGCTCACGCCGTGCATGAGACTCGAGGAAAGGGAGGTCCTGACAGGGACAGCCGCTCTCAAAGGGTCTCATTGCCATTCCGTTTGTTTGTTCCCAGAACAAATGCCGCCAATGGGAGGTGAGGTCATAAAGATGGCGGTCGGTGACAGCGACGCTCCAAGTGGCTCGGGTTCTCATCTTCGGTCGCACTTCTCCTTTTTATGAGTTGTCTTCGTCCTGTAGAAGACACGACTCACAAGTTAAAACCAGCTATGAGTTGAAGCAGAGTTGATCCAAGTGTTTATCGTGTAGTCTACACAGGAACAAAGTAATCAACAAATCCAAGCACTGGACATGCAACCTACTAGAATTTACTGTCGACAAATACTAGCATCCAATGAACAAGTCAGTTAGTTTCTCCAACTTTAGTACCATATCATATACAAACATCAAAAACAGCCAAGAACCCTGGTTCAAACACAATGAGAACACAACAGTAGCAAAAGTTCAACAAAAATTTCGTACCTAAGAAAACTTGCAGTCGAAGAAAACTTCAGTACCCAAGGTTTCTCCAACTTCAGGCTCAAACACAAGAAAGGAGGAGAGAGGTTAGGGAATGGCATCTTCAAGAATTTAGGATCCCTGGTTATAACAAGGTATTATGGAACATTACATTAAAAGGCAAACGAGCTCAGTCATCTAGGAGTAAGCAATACAAAAACATATGAAACTGATGACATCCACAAAGGCCCCACGGAAAGATAAATGTTTTGCTATCCACCATACAAACACTAGAAATAATTTTCATACCACCACCCGTCCAAATGCATTCTTAAAAGCGTTCAATGTTTGTACCAAGCGAAAATTCCTTATTGGGCAGACAAATCACCATACTGCCATGGGTTGAACTCAACGGTGTTGATATCAGTCTCATCGATGGAACCGGAGCTATCGATTCTAGCCCGGTGTTCTGTGTATCTACCATTATATTCGTATACCTCTATATCACCCCAAGGTGTAGGAGTAACTTCGCTTGTCATGTTGAACCATCTTGGGGTAAATTGATGTCCCTGGGCCTCTCGATTTCTTTTCTCTGCTCGCTGCCGCTCCTCCAAGCTGAAAACATCAACAAAATACACAAAAAAATTAAAAGATGGAATCTCTGGAAAGTATGAAAATCTCTTTCCTCTGGAAAAGCTACAGAAAATAAAGACCCAAAATGCACACTCCAATGCAATACTATATTATCTAAAGAAGATTAATTTTCTGAAAGTCAAAGTTGCCGAGAATCAAATTTTGAAATTTGCGTGCAAGTAGAAAAATTAACTTGCTTGTTCTTAAAAGTGCTCACCTGCTCTTTTCTGCACCAGCCTTGGACATATCACCTTTCTCGAGGGCATATCTGTCAGGCCGCAATCGGGAGTCTGATGCCAACAACTTTTTAGATGCTGTGTCAAAGCTGTTTATCTTATGTGCAAAATATGTGTACTGGAATTTGTCCTTTTCTGGGGTGGCAGCAACTCTCCATACCTTCAAAATACAGAAAAAGAAAAGAAAGCATAACTCATCAGTGACTGAAAAAAAATTCCTCGGCCACTAGTATTACAACAAACTAACAGGAAATAATAAGCAATGAACGCAAACTAAAAAGATGTAGCAAAATTAAATGACATGAAATATTTTCATCAGTAGTAATCGGATCTTAAAAATGTAAAAGTAATATCAATGTAATTCGTGAACAGGACCCGAGATATGTATAACAATATTCACAGACTTTTTTTGTCAAAATCGTAAAATAACCAATTAATCATTCACTAATGTATTGATCATAGTCATCACATAAGACATCTGCAAGAATCATCCACTGAAAACACCTAGATGATACATTATTTTGGCTATTGATTGAAATTATATTTAAATGTGAGGCAAGCAATTCAGGGTTATAAAAATGAAGCACAGTGTGCACAAAGCTCCTACTAATGCAGGATGCAGGATAAGTCAATTTAACAGCCCCAACCTTGCAAGCAGAGAATCTATTTCCATGACACTAGACCTGGTCAGCCAGGTCCATGAAGGAGCAGTCCCAGAACTTGATAATGACAGCCAAGACCTTTACCAAGCCTATTTGGCACCTTCAGTTTGAATGCAACATAAATTTGAATATCTTGATATGGATAAGATTTCAATACTTATATGTTCTCATGGCATTGTATAATCTACACTAGTGTTTCCCCATATAGTTTACATTCTATTATGTGTTGCTTCTTTTCATACCAAAATTAATTCCTTCCATATCACAGCTTGTCACCTAACCTACTTAACAAGTTGGCTCATGTAAACTGTTGTTTTGGATAGTGTAAGGATGACCATACTCAAACGAACCAGTATAAAAAACTAGCAAATGTTTTAGTTCTTACGAAAGGGACCAGCTAATTTTTCACCAAACCTCTATGACCTAGTAAGCCCTAGGCATATTCAAGCATCTGACCAATTGTTATGCTTCTGTTCCAAATAATGGAAGAACCTAGTCAAATAGCTCCTTGCAAATAACTGTTTCACTACTTTTACGATAGAGGGAATATAATTAAATCAATAGCACATGATATATTGAAATTTTTTCTAAACAAGAAATTTATTTTAGAAGAACGTAGCTATTTCCACAAACCCTAAAATATACTTGCTTCCATGAATGTAGCTATTTCATAGAAGACTGATATGGACCTCTTTTAGTTCAGTGCCCGGCAAGGGTTCTCCTTCTTGATCACAGGGCTGGCAACTCATTGACTCATTCCATTTTCCTGTCATCAATATTTTAGGTTCTTCTTCTGCACTATATACATATCCATCCACTTCGTACCGCCCAGCCCTGTCAGTACATTCAGCGAGATGTGCTTTAAAAAAATGCAGCAGATAAAATCAATAAGCAACCACGTAGATACTAGAATGAAGAATCAAAAAAGAAACAGAACAAGAAAATCCATACAACTCCAAGGTTAAAAGCTAGCAATCGTTTTACCTTCCATTAGTGCGGAAGGATCACTAATGCTGTTGTAACAAAGAAAATCATACAACAATAACCTATGATAATTCAAATGGATTAGATTAATGAACCATACCCAAACCAACCACATGGTTGGAAATATAACACAACTTTGTCCCCAGTTGTCAAGTTTGTCATAATCATCTCCCCAGGTGAGTCAACCCATGTGCGCCCAAATATAAGGTTATTAACCTTTGAGTGAGGAGGCACCAAATCCAAGATAACACCATCTTTCTTTAGCTTCACCCTTGTCCTGCATCACATGCAAACCAGCTTCTTATTTCAGGAAACTGTTCCAAATTCACAAACAAGCCAGCTTATAAGATCAAAACAAGTTACATTATTTATAAAGTGTTGGTGGTTAAGAAAAAAGATATTTCTTGATTATGCATCAAAAAAAAAATAATTAAGATAGAAACTGCACTCTTCAAGCGTTAGTTCTGGAATAGCCCACCTTCCAACTGGATAAATTTCCAACGAGTTTCCTAAGAATTTTGTTTTCAATTTTGAGGTGATATCATAAGTAAAATGTTCATTCTCTGCGTGTGCAGCACTCATTGGTGGATGATGACTAACCTGAAAGTATGATGATGCATGAGTCAGGAAACAGAAAGAACAAGAGCTATCAGTACTCTCAAACAGGAAGCATATGTTGAACAAGTGAAAAACTAAAGATTAGTGCTCAACTGAAATTCTGAGCAAATGGAGCAGCATAGAAACAACCAACCTGCTCTGCAATGAATGTCAGACCACCATGATTAGCCATTTCATAAGTCTCTCCAAGGATAGGATTAAAAGGTTTCCATGTTCGTTGATAGGCAAAATAGATAGAAATTGCCCAAGAGGCTGGAAAGGACAACCAAGCTTTGCATCAAACTATGCATACAACAAAGTCAACATATAAAAGATGAAAAAATATACTTACAAGCATAAACTAACCGCATGTAGGGGTCCTCACATTCATCTGCCAGATCTAACAAGTGGCAATACTCCATTAACTGAAACAAATATTGAATTTATTAAGATATGCACATCATGAACAGCATCTCCCATATCATAAAGAACATGTATGAGACAGATATATGAGGAAATACCATATTCTGTTCTGTTAATGCTATCCCAAAAATGTAGAGTCTGAAAAATGCAATAGGCAAATGATGGAAGGAGATTTCTCTTAAAATTTGCACATATACACTGGTTAAGTGTGTGCTTTCATGGTTATCCAACATGTGTACTTTAAGTCCAGAAAGTCCCTGGTTTCTAACATCCTATGTGCAAACATACCCAGATTTACTTATCTGCCAAATGAGGGATGGACCATTCTTTTGCCAAATTCCACATGAAATATGGAAAACATTCACAGCATTGGTTTATGCAGAAGTAGCCCTCGAATGGAATAGGGCAGGCATGGAGCAAGTCTAGAAGGCTATATTGCAATGGAAGGATTAAGCACTCTGTGGAAGTTAACAGCATATTAGTACTCCAAGACAAAAGTCTCCACACATGCATAAGGGGTCCTTGTCACTAATTTAGAATTCAACTGGTGATCAGGGTCAGTAAGTGGGAACGACATGGATCGATAAACAGATACATAGTGTGTGTGAGTGAGTGAGTGAGTGAGAGAGAGAGATTCATATTGTAAGATCATCCCTGGCATATTAAAGGCATATGCAAAAGGAGTCAGAATGAAAATGACAAAAATTTTACATCATGGATAAGAACGTCCGAACAAAATAACTTTAAATGAATCATGATAATTCCTCTCACTTTAGGTCTCGAAAATCAATCTCTCTGCCTACATTTGATTTTATTAGTGGCAAAGGATCAAAATGGGAGTACTGACACCCCTTTATCGATAATTTTATGATGCCAACTAGTCATGAAATTCTCCTTCGAATTAGCACTTTTGCTGACCAATATTGATTGAGAGCCAGAATAATTAAGTTCCTGATTTCTACTTTGTGAATGTGTATGTGTCCATTGCCTATTTCCGGGTGAAAGACAACTAGCCAAATCTAAAAAATCAAACAAAGACATATTATGACAATTGACAGCAGAAAATGAAAAAGAGATCTCAAATGTGACCATGACTTATTGTCACGGCCTTAGCTGGAATTGCCTAAGGCGTGAGGCACCATTGCGGCCAAGACGCAAACTTAGCTTGCGTTGCCTAAGTCGTGAGGCACCCTTGCGGCAAAGACGCGAACTTAGCTTGCGTTGCCTAAGTCGCGCTTCGCCCTTGCGATATTGCTCCACAAAGATCAGCCCACTTGCAACCTCTCGCAGGTCCCGAAGGACCTGTAAAAGAGAAAGTTGATTAGTTCGAAAGAACGAGCGACAGACAAGTCCCGACGTCTCGCGAAAAGGGAAAGCTTTACAAGCAATTCAACGAGCACCTTGCGTGCACAAGAGAAAAGAGGGAGAGGGGGAAATCAAGGACTTTAGAGGGTTGAACGAACAGCTGCAAGTCCACAAACAGTTGCTCACCGGGTGCCGGGCGCGACAACAAGTTCCCGTTAAGGTAACGTGCGAACTTGCCAAAGGTTGTTCAACGCCCGACACTATACCGAAGCCCCATCCAGTCCTGTGCCACCCGGGGGGTTCAAAGGGGCTGAGATGACTGACGTTTTGGTGAGCGGAGGCGGACTGCAGAAAACAGCCCGTGGCACATGAAAACGGAGCTGTTTTGGGGCTATTTTGCTCGGTTCGATGAGCGATCGCTTGGTAACGCTGCAACTTGTTCGAACTTACATTTTTACAAGCAAAATGACTCAAAACCAAGGCAAAACATGCTGCCAAGAAGCTATACAGGTGGATGTGAGCGACGAACAGTTCGTTGAACGGAGTTGTTGCGGGTGCGCGACGACCGTCCGTAACACTATGTAGCATCCACAAAATGAACTCTAAACCATGATGTTCAAATTGCAATTACTAAAAAGAATGTAGCAGAAGCCTTAACTGTCACTTCTCAAGATAATTTTTCAACTGCAACATGTATTATTGATATAACAGACATTCACAATTGAAAGAAAGTTACATTGTTTTAAATCTAGCAAACTAAAAATCTACTTCCTTGATTAAACAAGGGTATAAGTTGATCAAGTTTGTACTCCCAAAGTTGATCTGAAACTAAAAACTAAAGCCAAGAACCTTTATCTAATAGGAAAAGTTGATCAAGTTTGTACATATAACATTTTTCTTCGGATGAATGTGTTGCCAACAGCTAATCAGATAAAAGCTTCACTTGGTACAAAGTTACATCACATGGCAGATGGCTAGATCTTGCAACAAATAGATGTAATTCAGAAGCTAGAGATACAAGAAGAAAACACAGCTAGCGAGATTCTTGCCAAAAGAAAAAGGGGCTATATGTCACTGGAAATTAACAACTTTAAATGAGAAGCAGAAGCAGAAGGCTCCTTGGGTACAGATTGACATATGACGATATAGAAAACTCATTACAACGGCTAAAGCCCAAATTAGCACTAACCTCAGCCATTTTCTGAATCATTGTCATTGGCTCAAAAATGATAACAGGCAATGTCACCATTGATGTCACATCTGAGCCTATATATTTGTGCATCATCTTCCAATAACCATCTCGATCCTATAAATTAGTAAAAGAGACCATAAATGAGATAGAATAACCATGCCTTGTATATGCATAGAAGTGATAGATGCAACAAAAAAGATAAACTTGGCATTTTTGTTTTAACAGATCTAGGAACCACAAAGAAAGCAACTATCTCATATATACTTGTCTCTTCAGATTAAGTTTAAAACAAAATTACAAAAGGTGAACTTAGCCAAGCAGATGATTTTTTTTCCTTCTAAAATTTCCAAAATAAAGGAGATATGTATCATCGTCATAATAAAAAGACATGGCAGCTGATGCAAGATAACAATTAAACTCTACTAGTAAAATATATGGATTGATTACCTTAATATAAAAGAAAATGGCTGTCCGGTGCATCATTTTCAAACTAATAGTGGTCTAGGGGTCAATATACATAGTCTTACTCTTACAAGTAAAGATTTGAGGGTGCTTTCCTAAAATAAAAGGCTGCATTTATGGCTGAAACCAGGAATGTTTAAAATCAGAGTATGGAAAATGTTTCAAGTTGCTCCATTAGACAATTTTGCTCCTTGGAACAACATAAACAACAAAAAGCATTTGGGGAATATTAATGTTAAGTAATCACATTGGACATGTTGATGGTCGCAAATATTCTCCTAGTTTACAGTATTGGAATAAAGTTCACTTCTTTATTATCTCTAAAACCATTATAATCCAAACGGATCACTTATAACATGGATAATTGAAGTCTTCTTACAATGGTTAAGGAAATTCAATCTCCATGAACAAATCAGGTTTCTGTAAGCAGTAATGGCAAATCAGAGTAACTAATATCAATGACAAAAGGTTTCCAAAAGATCACCAGGTCAAACACTTCTTCACAAGCATGCACCATAAGTATATATGGTTAAAAAGGATGTAAGAGTAATTATTTGCCTGGCATTTCAATAACGTTTGGCTTTGCATATAAAGGAAACAAATATATGGGAAAAAACAGAGTGTTCTTTATGAACTCTTTCATTCCAGTCTTAAGCAAATTTAGAATACATGTGTCCAGAAATTAATGGCAAAGCTGAATTACGAAAATTGGCATAACAACTAAGACAACAATACCTCTTGCTTCCACCTTCCACGTTGGGCTTCTGCCTCTGCATCTTCAGTGCCTCCATCAGGATTGATAACTTCAAGTCCTTCATAACCCAATAGCCTGAGCCATACCAATTAAATTATTTTTTGCTATGTTCAGTAACTAATTCAACACAGCTAAAAACTTGAATCTTTTATGCAAGAACCAACCCAGCATTGCAATAAACACAGCCAATATTAAGCCACAAAACATATAAAACCACATTGTTTTTTCTTATTTTGATATGGTTACCAGGCCAAATGGTTGGTACCAACAGACAACAATAAAACGTAGTAGGAACTGGGTTGATGGAAGAAGATGAAAGTATAGAAACCTTTTGCTACTCACAAGCAATCATTTACTCAATAATAAGCAGTTAACAAGGAAGCAAGATCTAATAGCAGTGGAATTTATAACCTATCAAATGGAAGACTAGTAATCAACGCACACTCTACTGTTTCTCTGGGCCTGAACGTGATAATGAAAAAGATTTTTTTCCAAATAAAATCTATTAATAATATCATGATACAATAAAGTAAGGTTTGTCATACCGTGACATACCACTCGGTACAAGGAGTATGTACCGGTTCGATAGGAGACCGGTACAAGTAATACATCAATATGCTCTCATGTACTATATGTCGGTACGGCTCAATACATATCATACTGACAGCTAATCGATACACCAGTACAAACCGATAAGACGAACCATGCAATAAAGTTCTTCAAATAGGTCCACAAACAAGATGTTAAAATGCGATGATTTAGCCACATTTTGCCGCCACAATACTCTTCAAGTGCAAAGAACTTTTTCTACTAATAATTCACTATTCTATTGCTTGTGCACTTAAGTATCTTTTTTTCCCTGGCTCAACTCCATTTCATCACCACACAAGTAAAAAATCACTTACTTATGAGCATCAATCACCTCTTCTTTGATATCAAGTACAAAGTAATCACCTTATGAAACATAATTCATCAAAAGAAATCCAGAGTGTATAGCTCAATACTTCAAGAACAAAAAGTTAGACAACATGGACAAGCTCCCCCATGAAATATATGGCCACTTTCAAGCACATCAAGAACAGTTCAATTTAACAGAAACAGACTCAGGAAAATGTTCAGGTAAAGAGCCAACAGATCTTGAGAAAACTCGTACCCATTTACGGATTTATGCATCGCGCTGCCCCAGTTCCGAACGCTCGACGTGATCGCGGAGAAGAACCCACCACCCACGGGCTTCTCATCTTTCGAACCCATGACGACAACCCTAATCCAAAGTCAAAAGCTACGGATCCCCGAATCGCGAGCGGAAGGACGTCGGATGGATCGGAGCCCCACCGCCGGCGGATCTGCAAGTTCGAAGCTCGGATCCACGCGAAGCGAGCACGGATCGACGAGTTCGCAACCCCTTCTCCTGGCTGCTCCCGGCGTTGGAAACAGCGAGGGGTCGACACGGCAGAACGAACGGAGAATAAGAACGTGAGGGAGTTGAAACCCGGTCAAATTGACGAAAAACCCCCTAAGTTCCTGAAATGATAACAAAGCCCTCCGTTTTGGCTGACGTAATGAAAACATTGCAAATATATCCCTTGAAATATATAGTTTTTGTAATCACCCCTCTAAATTAAAAATATGCATGCAATTTTCGTTTTGACTATTAATGAAATTTATAGATATGTTTGATATGCTTTAGAAATTTATTATGATTATTATAAGAATATTAGGGATGTCTTAAGTATCAATATATATATTTAATTTAATCTAACTAATGTTGGTTATAATTAATTTTTTTTGTTTTTTCGAAATTGTTTTGATTAAGTATTTGATCTCAAAATCTTATCAAAAAAATATTTTTTATTAATTTAAGTATGTAAGATATTTTCACATGAACATAGATTTAACTGTAATTAGCTAATTATGTTTAACTATATGTTTTTTGGAAGAATTTTAATGAAAGAGATAGATATAAATTATCATGATAATTGGAGAAACATAAATATTATATAAAAATGTGTAAGGTAGAGTAAAGTATTTCTAAACTTGGAAATGTTGGATATTTAAAGATCCCAAAAAGTTAAATTCAATATTGAAAAATAAATTAAAAATAAGTCTCCTTTGATTATTTCAAAAATTAAAAATTATTCTATTATAATTTAAAAAATAATCTTCATAATTATTATTAATTATTTTTTGCACTTTTTTCTTTTTTTTGTTTTGTCTATGCAGCCTAATAGATTTATTGTGCTCTTTATTTACTCCTTTATCAATTACATGGTTGCAAAATTCTGCCTCTATTTTTTTTTCTTTTATTAATGCATGTATTCATCATCATCTAATATATGTTTTCAGGGTTTGGTACCAAATCAATAACAAATAAAAATATAAACTAAAATACAATCCATAAAAAATAATGTTCTTTATCATGTAATAATAATCCATGCAAGTAAGCTAATTTTTTTCTGTTAGCTTAAACTCAACTCTAGAACCTCTTGTATACTACTACAATTTCTCTGGAGCCACTTTAAATCTTTTAAAGAAAGGAAACTCTTAAGTCTCTCAAGTGTTTTTATTTGTATGCATATGAAAATTGTGAAGTGCATACTTGAAAGGATCTCATTTCTTCATGAAAAGAATTCTCAAAATGATATCTTTGTTAATCAAGCAAATTCATCCATCAGGTTTTTATAGGTTATTGTTGGTCAAAGATATGATTTCTTGCTTTAAAGTTAGATAATTGAGAATTGGACACCAAACATCCATCCATTGCAGCCAGTATGATGGACAAGTAGTACAATGTACTACTACTGAACATTGCAAACACTGAAGCCAAGTAGTAGAGTACACTATGAATCATTTGATCAAACACCTGCAATAGTTCCATCACCACTTGCAGACTCTGCCTAACAAGTCATCATCCAGATCATGTGCAGCCTTGGAATCAAACCTTCTCACTTGAGGGGTGTGTTTATTTATATTGATACTTCCAACTCCTCCAGTTTAATCTCAGATAAAAGATTTAGATTAGTCTATAAGGTGATCAATTTCACCTCAAGTATTTTTTGGATTGTGATTTAAATTCAATAAGTTGATGTGTTTATCACTTCAAAATATTTTATGTTATTTTCAATTTTTTTATCTGAAAATTGATTTGACCAAAGCAAATACAAATTCTATTTGAGGTACCCTATAATCATCATAAAAAAGTCACTCCAAAACTGTTCATCCTACTTTCACCTTTTCATTTTCATGGCTTGCTTACATTGATAAGAAAGATGATGGTGAGATGATTGATTATGAAGGGATCCCCAATATGTCATGTATAGAATTTGCATTCCAAACTCATTGCAACCACAATACAGATGTCATAAGAAAAACCTAATAATTTTCCTGAAAGAAATTCTTGTCTTTTCATAAATAATTATGTCTCCTAAATTATTATCATTTAATGTTTTCCATCGATGGGAAGGAGAATCTATGGATATTGCCGTACACAATTATGAAGCCATGGATGCAAAAGTGACAGGTAAACTGTAGCTTCTCTGAAAGAAAAGACAAGTGGAGAGTGACATGTTGGAAATAAAGTCCACCCTTTTTAGGTCACTGAGTTGAGGAAATCATTCATGCCAAGCACACACACACACACAAACCTTTAGTTATCCAACATATGCTTCTGCAACTTTCCCCACTGAACTTTTATAGCATAGGAATTCAACTTCAACCATGTTCCGAAACATGGAATACACTGCTGCAAAAGATGCAGTTGTATTTGGATCTCTTGTTCAGAGGTCGTTTTCTGTGTTCACAGAGTGTGATGGATGCCTCCAAAGAGTGTGAGATATGATCACTGACTTGGGGGACTGATGGGGACCTGCACACCAGCAGATGATCTGTGTGTGTATATCATATCATTCCATGATGACTTTTAGTGGAATTATTGATTGGGTGATGGAGAACAGAGCAGTTCAGTTCTCCCTGTTGCTTTCTCCTTGACAAGCCAATGAGAGAGTACCACTGTCGAAGGAGTGGTGATAATTGTTGGAGTTGCGGTTGAATTCATGGAGAGCAAATTTGTACTTGAGATTCTGATGGCCGAACACCATTCTCCAGCATTATTTATTCTTCTTTTTTGGTGGTATTTCATGGAAACCGATGAAAGGAACAGCAAATACGCCAACAATGTGTTGCAGGAAAACATTTATTTCTGGACATACACAATCGAACCACAAATTATGGGAACAGTTTATGGAGATTAATCCTTTCCCCCTCGTCACCGTGATGATGGATGGATGGATGGATGAACTCGACGGGGAGGAGCTAAGCAGTGACCGATGTTTCCATTGCGACCTTGCCGGAGTACCTAATGCCGTCAGATTTCTCGGCCTCCTCCCACAGCCCGGGCAGTGCTTCCCTGATGTTGTGGATGCTTTCCAAAGCGTAGTCGGCGCCTTTGACTTTGTGCGCAGTGCCCACCTGCGTCCATGAATCAGCAGGCCATGAGAAACACATGCCTCGGTAGAGATGAAGCATTCGGCGGTAAGAGATTTACCAGCACAGTGTGCAGCCCAATGCGTTTCCCTGATTGAACGTTCCGCACGCTGTCATCAAAGAAAACCTGCAACGCATCGTAAACAAATGTATCGTATCAGCCACAGAATTCAAGGAGCGACGAGATCGTACGTAGATGCGTCTTACGGTTCTCTGGGGATCGATGTTGGCGATCCTGAGGGCGTACTCCATGGCTTCGAGCGATGGCTTGCAGAGGATCGGAGTCTTCGGCAGTTCGATTCCTCCGGTGTCAGGTCGAGCGAAGTGTTCGACGATGTCGAAGATCTGGCTCGAGGTTTCTGTCACGGAGGAGGAGGATGGTGGATTGAGAGTCTCGAAGCATATGATTCCTTCGAAACAGTCTTCCAGTCTCAGCTTCTTCAGCACCTTCGCGGCATGGACCTCATCGGCGTTCGTGAACACCTGGATCGCAGCCGGAAAGATCCATGAATTGGAGAGACAGAGAGACGGAGGAAGCTTTTGTAGAACACCGGAAGAACTTACGACTTTGCGAATGGGAAGGCTCAGCAAGAGTTGCCGGAGAACAGGGTCTGGCTTCAGATTCTCGTGCGGTAATCTTCCATGAACGAAGCTGGTAAGCCACAAACTATCAGAACGAAACATGAGACACAGAAATCGCAGCAAGTTTTAGAGTCGAAACCTGTGGTAATCGTCATAGTCGAAGTCGTAGCCAATGGCCTGCGAAACAAGTAGACCGGTTGGCATGACTACGACAAGAACAATAAGAAGTAGATGAAACACGAGCAACGTACCTTTAAGCCAGCCATCGTCGTGCCGTAGTTCTTGTACAGAAGATTACACAAGGCTGATACCTTGTTCTCCTCGATCCCAAGCTTCTCGACCAAATAATCTGCAAATCGACGGAAATCTTCCTGTCAGAACAACAGAGGCAAGCAGCCATGAACTAAAAGAGACAGCTGCCGTACCTCCAATGTTGTTTCGGCACTGGATTGCGATTCCGGAACTCAACGGGTAGAGGGTGTCATCAAGATCTGCACGTAGGAAAACAGCGGAGGATGAAGAACCGATCCAAGATCAGAAACGCAAAGTGAACGGCCAAATCAAACGCTTACCGAAGAGGAGGCAATCATATTTACCCCTCTGAGATTGCCGGCACCGGTCCTCGTACTCCATCTTGATCTCTATTAGAAGCTTCAGATACATAAGACCAGAGTCATCAACAGTTCGAATGATCACCAAAAGGAGCTGTTGGTATTCCAAACACCACAATCTACTTCACCCGTATCTGATCCAAAGTTCTTTGCCGTTTCTGTAAGAACGACTAGAAAGAGAGAGTACGGTCTTCCGACCGACCTCGTTTCCCGAGTCATGGAAGTGAAGCTTACCGGAACAAAGAGGAGGAACCGATCGCTGGGCGATGGGAACTTCTCCTCAATGAAACAGAGCAACGGAGATGGGAGGCGAAGGGGGAAGGAGGATGGTCGGGCTGCGCCGGTTTAAATAGGCGACCCGTCCCCCTCAAAGCCGCAATTAGCAGCTTAAGGTAATTTATTTTTGGTTAATTATTGAGCGAAAGGGACGTGGAAATTGCTTGGTGGCTTCTGGCTGTCCAGCTGTCACGTGCTGATTGGATGATCTGTAGCTTCTAGATACCGACTGCTGACGGATCTCAGGCTGGAATTGCACCCCTAGACGTGAGCTTATTTACGGGAGTGCCTCTCCCCGGACGAAGCGTGGACCGTCCGGATGAAGTTTGACGGTGGATATGGGACGGCAGATTGATGATTGATATGCTCGTACCTGGGGGAGGTGGTGTCTGTGTGGAAGGAAGATGGAGTCGGAAGAGTGGTTGGAGTAGAGGAAGATATTTAGATTGCATTTAATCGTGAACAAATCGTGTTCATTTAGATCATTAGGTTTTCTTCA